CTTCTAATCAGCGGACCTGCGTCAGCCGGGAGTCGAACCCGGGTCGCCTGCTTGGAAGGCAGGTATCCTAACCGTTGGACTACTAACGCGCCTGCAGCAGCCATTCTCCCCACGCTTGCTCGCATTATACTTATGGAAATTTGTTTAGCTCCTCAGTGGTGTCCTCGGGAATAGATGTTAAACGCCTCAAAAAGCAACTGCAAAAGGCAACCAACGAGTGGGCTCTCTCTATCTCGACAGAAATCCTTTCGAGTGCATGTGCGTGGTATGCACTCTGCGAAGTTGTTGCACGCATTTGAATGCAGGCTGCCAGATAAGGGCCAAGCCAATACTAAGCTACTCCCTGCGACGTGAGTTCATGCACCCAAAGGCGGCTTGGGTTTGCTTGCACGTGGGGTTGCCTTGCACCAGGAGTTGCAACTGTTGCAGCTGACCGCAACTCGCTGCAGCAGGCCCGCATGATGGCGTGACCACTGGTCAAAGCCCCACAAGCCCTCTCTTTCTTTCGCCTCAATAGCGAACCACTCGTTAATGCGCGCATCCCAACATACACAGAAGTACGCAGTTACCCGCAGCCGCCAGATCCCTACACCCGCCGCCACAGATTTCCGTATACAGCTTGCACCACCGGAATCTACAACGATGGCACAGGAACGCCAAGCACTAAACGGTGACTAACGGTACTCAGCATTCCATTATAACCCGAGACATGGATTCATTAGTTTCACAGCCTCTGTAAAGCGCGAGGGAGGGTGAGCAACTGGAGAAACTCAACGTCATGGGCTGCGTGGAGTGCACTACTGTTAGTTATCGGGTCAATGCGATGGCTTGTATCGTAGATATATCCGCGACTCGGATCTACGCCCTTTCGTTAATGTGGACTACCAAAAACTGTTCAGGACAGGCCGGAATTTCCTCGAACTCTCCCATAAAAACCTGGTTGAGGGGAGGAGCGACTGAAGGAAGCTGTCCCTGGGCACGCGTTCATCGATGCACACAGATAACAGAAGAAGAGAGCATTACATCGAATGGACAGAATACCGAGAACTCGGCTGTGAGTCCGAGAACCGCTCGAGCGAAGGAGTTCAAGGAAGCATCAATGTGCCGTCCTCGATTCAGCGGCAAGAACTCCAAATGTGGGCATGCATAATAGGCCAGCTTAAGTTTGTTCCGCATTCAGTATTTCTCTATGCATTTGCCCTGTCAGGCGTGGAGAGGGGAACCAAAGGTTTGACTTTACGCGTTTTCGAATTCTAATTGTGTTTTCCAGGTGTGATAATACGCCCTTCCCTCGATCTATGGCGAGATCGGTGCTGCAGATAACAACGCTTTCATTTGTTCATATTTCGGGGCTGGGCCCCTGTTGCTGCTGTCCGGACCCTCTCACCTCACGCACGCTTTGTTCCTGCTCTCCGGGTGCTCTACATCCAATATGTTTTGTTAGGTTGGGTTACCAGCAGTAAATCGCTTTTCTCAACCCAAAAGCGCGGCAGCGAAAACATTGTTAACCAGTGAGCGCGTGGGCCTGCAGCAGTTGCAGCGATTGCACATATGAACAGCCACGGTGGATGTACCTTGCTGCCCTCCCCCTGCTTTTTTCCCCTTTCTCCCTAGTGTGGACTTTGGGTTTTCTTATGATATCCTTCCTCCCCATCTGTGCGCGTATCCCTAGTTCGCCACCCAAGTACACGAGGGCGTTTGCTGGTTGGCAAGAAAGAGGGGGCATATGTAGCATGGTCTGTTCGGCGTTAATGCATGCAATTCTACTTGAGCGCAAGTTGCCTACTGCAGGCCACTGACGTGCTCTACAATTGTCTACGGCCGTATCGCATGCTCCAAACGAAGACTTTGGTATCTTTGTTTGTGGGCGATGGCACGAGTTGCAACAAACGAGCTGCAGCGCAGGGCCCCTAGAGGCAAGATCCGCTGTTCACTGCCTGATGCGAATCTTCTTGGTCTGTTTTTTGTTTCAAACGCACAAGTAAATTGCCGTCGAAAGAGACTCTAGACAGTTGCTGATGAACCAACCATATATGCGCTGTCCACCTGCCCCATCTAGTATGGTCAGTGTCAAGTTGATAAGTGTTCTTCTGCATGAGTGCAGGCTGGAAGTGGTACGTGTTTAAGCGTTGGTTGCAGTGATGTTTAAGAGTTGGCTACAGTGAAAGTTAAGAGTTGGTTACAGTGATACTGCATGCAGCAAAGACTGTTTTGTTATGCATGTACTAGATTAACGTGCGTAACGAAAGTCATCGATCGTAGCTGCGGATGTCGCGAGCTGCAATAGAGTCAAGGGCTCTAATAAGGGCCCTAAGTGCAGCTGACCCTCTCCCTCGCTTGTACTGAGATAGTTGTACTCCGGCAATGCGAATTTTCCTTAGAGACTGAATTCGTGTCGCTTTTTCGTTTCAGGGAGATAGCGCTGCTGCGTTCCCTTCCCTCTGGCGTAAAAGGAGTCTTCCGTGCAGCAAGCTGCCGTTAGAAGCCCCTAGCTCAGCCCTCGCATATACATAACAAAACACCCTTTGTTGCATGCACTATCACTAAAACCAAGTCTTAACTATCACTGGCGTCCTGCCCATTGCGGCCCAACTGCCTGTGGTTGGTGCAGAGTGTAGATGGCCCGTAATGAGCTGCAGCTTCCCTTGCTGCAACTCATGCTGCAAGGCAGCCCACGCGCAAGCACAACCAAGCGCCTTCCCTAGATAAGCTGAGGTTCCATGCATCTGCTAAACACTTACTTGGCCATCTATAGCCAGTCATCCGCAAGTAGATAAATGTTGCAACTTCGCACAGAACATGCTGCGGACCATCCTGCAAAGGCTATTGTGCCGTCTCGCCCAGGAAACCGAAGGGCCATATTGGAGACTGGCTGTTTTGGGGAATTCTTATTTTGCGCGTTTTGAGTATTGCCGCTTGCTCATGACGGTCCTATGTAAAGCTCGAGGGTTCTAACTGCAGCATGCTGCACGGAAGACTCCCGTTACGCGGGAGGGAACGGAACTCAGCAGCGCTATCTCGCTTAAACAAAAAAGCAGCACTAGTTCAGTCTCTAAAGAAAATTCACATTGCCGGAGTGCAATTATGTCAATACTAGTGGGTCACGGTCATGCGTGGAGCGGCACTACTCACCTATGATAAATGAACACTCCGCCGCAGACGTGCATTCCGAAATAAACTGCCTTGTATGCTTTTTAGCTTGCTTATATATGGATTAGCTTTATACTATGAAGCAGTTCGTGGGTGAGTACACAGCACTGCGCGTAATTTATAGCGAATGTATGAAGCCGAGCAGAAAGGCAGCCTCAACAGGTGGAGCCGGATGCAACCGGGCTGCCCTGCCGCAGCTGCTGTTGCTGCTGCTGGCACTGCCGCAGTGGATACGCTTCTAGCAATTGTGTTGTTTTTTAACATCATTTGATGAGTTTCTTCCCCCGTGCGTCTGAAGAGGTAGGGGGAAAGGGGGTGAAAATGGACGGCCAGACTCCTACGGCAGCAATTGCTGCTGCTGCAGCAGCACTGAGTGGCGCGGATCCTGCAGGAGCAAGGAAGCAGCTGGCTCTTCTTTATCAAAAGTTACCTGTGGATGACCGTCGCTATGTCTCAGAATCAGACAGAGATGAGATATTTAGGCGCCTAAGGAAGGACAACCGCATGTAGGCCAAGTTCCAATAGTGGCGCAGCACAGGCAATTTTCGCACGCCTATAATCTTCTTCAGCATCTGTACTTCCATGTCTCTATGTAATTTCTCATGCTTTTGCATGTCTTCACCTTTTAAGCCTCCTTCTTTAGAAGGGAGCGCCCAAGCTGCAATAGCTTCGTGGCTTCCTCTTCAGCCTGAACTACCAGCAGCAGTTCCCATCTATGAGGCGGTACTCCCCGGCGTTTTTAAGTATGAATTGCCGGGCGAGTCGCCATTCGCTCGCCGTCGCTCTAGCGTGCTTGCATGCTGTAGGGGGAAATGAGTCATTTAGTGATGACGCCTTTGAGGAAGGACGCTTGGTGACTTGAGGTATGTGTCTGTTCGTCTGTGTCGTTCAGGTGCTTCGACTGCAGCGCCAGAAACCCCACATGGATCTCTCTAACGCATGCAGTATACGTCTGCCTTTCATGTTCCGGCAAGCACAGACGGCTGGGCACGCATCTTTCCTTCGTACGGTGAGGCTTCTGTGGCAGCCTTGTGGCGTATCCTTTGGTGTTAATATCCTTCAAGTTGGCGGCTAGTCACACAGTTGGAGGCTTAAGCTTGGTGTGGACTGCACATTTGTGGATTCCGGAGCTACAGTCTGTCCGTCGCTGCAATCTCGGCCGGGTATGTTCACGTTTTGCTGGGCTTTGTCGTGCTGCGTGCAGCTCAACGGAAATGGACAAAATCTACCCGGAGCAACTGTTTCGAATGGAGCTGGGTGAGTGTGCTTAGGTGTTTTTGATGCCTAAAAAGTAGCTGTCGCGGGCGCTACTCACTTGGAGCCTCCCTGGGGCAGACAGCGGTCGAGCAGCAGCAGCGAACGACATAGCAGGACGGTGTAGGTGTATCGTCATACCCGCGTATGACGGCTTACTAGTTTTAGGAATGCAGAGAGTTATGAGGCAGCCTTTCGTGTGTGAATGCATTTTAGGGGGAAATCGCCGAGCCCAAGAGTTTCTTAGGGAGCAAGGGTATGGATCAGAGGCACTAGAACTAAAAGAGAGAGGTTGACTGGCGCCGGATGTGGAGGACTGGGAGGCTGGCCATGTGCCTATTTAGGGCATCTGCTGGCCGCGGGGGAATCCTTCGCTCGTGGGTTTGTGTTTAGTAGTTGTTGCGTCGTGATGGGAGACACTATGTGGCGTTGCCTCTTCAGGGCGGACTTGAGCCAGCCCTTGGACTATCACGGCAAGTTGGCAGCGAAACACCGACAGGTGTTGGATGTGAGTTTTGTTGTTGCTCTTCCCTTTCCCTGTAAACCACTGGAGAATGCTTTCTAGGCGCATTGCTCTGTTCATTGTACGGGCAGACGCTGATGCAGATGCAGTACTGTTCTGGTGCAAACTGGATGCCACAATGTCGACAGGTTTATGCTGGGTTCAAGGAGAAGTTAAGGGCGTTTGTGTCCGCTGCTGCAGCGCCTCGTCAACAGTGAGATGCAGTCCATTGGATGGCTTGTCGGAGGGCAGCAGGACTCGTCAGCGTCGCACAAGACAGGAGCTGCAGCACAGCAGCAGCAGCAGCAACTGCAGCAGCAGGTACGCGATGCGCTGCATGGCTCTAAGCAGCCTGTGCAGCAGCAAGCACAGCCTGGCCCCGCGGTTGTGCCAGTTGCAGCAGTTGCCGCGGTGGCCCCCCCGGCGGCCCCTGCGGTTACTGTAGGAACTGGACGAGGAAATGTAGTGGACAATTCTTTGGGGGGAAGCATGAAACCCATGGGCGCAGGCAGGGGTGTTAGGAGCCGCAAGCTGGAGATGGACTTCGATTTTGAGAAAGAAGCGGCTCTGCTAGCGGCGAAACAAAGGGCAGCGGCGCAAGGTAGGGCCATGCACGCAGTCCCCTTAGCTTATCTGCGTACAGGGTTCCGTATGCATATGAAGTCTAGCCGTATCTGTATTCGACAGATTGTGGAGGCATCGAGCTGCTCTGTATTTGACACGGGGTGACGAAGGTCTGCTGAGGATGCAGCCCAGCTGCAACAGCTGTCCGGATATAGTTTGTCTCGGATTTGTTCCTGTGGTACAAGTGCGCGTGATTTCTGTTTTTTGCAGGATCGCCTCACACTTCTGGGAGTTCTTCCCAGCCGCCAACGCAACAGCAGACAGCAGGGCGCGGCGGCTTCAACAGCATTGGCAGTGAAAGCAGCAGTCTTCCTAGGGCAGCAACAAACCCTACCTTCGGCAGCGGCGGGTCCACGGGCCTTGGGCAAGGTGCTTCTGTAGGAAGTGGGTATGGGTCCAGCAGCAACCCTAGCCGTGGCGCATACGGGAGCAACAGCACACGTTTTTCGGGAGCGAAGAGCATCTCCTCAGCGCAGTATTTTAACCAGGAAGAAAGGTAAGGATTGCTGTATGCAATGAAGTGTACAGCCCCTACGCACCCTACCGAGGCCGGGCGCATGCCTGAGTACGTCACTCCGCAGGAGCTTGGTTTTGCTGGGGCGTATACCCAGAGATGGTTTGCTGAGAGGGGGGAAAGGGTGGGGGGCGGGGGGTTCCTTCTTAGATGACTCCAGGGTGCTTGCTGCTGCACAGCCCTGTGACTGTGTTTCTGCAGCTCTCCCCCAGTGGCCCCTGTGCCCGTCGACCCCTCGCGTAGGGCCATTGGCTCGGATGAAGTTTTTGGGCGGAGCAACAGTGGCAGAAGGGTGAGCGGCTTCACTCTAGATGTGGAGCGAAATTTGATTGCGTGAATGCTGGTGGGCGCACCATAGATGCTTGGGTGCCTTAACAAGCATGACCTATTCAGTACCGGCGTGTTACAAGCATTTGTTTGAAGTGCTTGTGAATCATTATGAATGCCAGTAGTCGGTGAGGCGGTGTTTCTGACGGGTGCCGTTGCAGGGTTGGGAGGACCAAAGTTCTGCTCGCGTGGAGGCCCTACGCATGCATGCACAGCAGGGATGGCAGCAGCTTTCTCAGGCAGGTAGCGAAGCCCTTAGCAAGGCGCGGGAGTGGCTAGCTGGTACATAAGTGCGGCAGGAGGGCCAGTCCGTACTACAGGTCAGGCTTCAATCAAAGCCCCTCCTCGGCTGATATTTCCAATTTCAAGAAGTCGATGTGGACATTTTCCGTCAGACTCTCCCCATTTGCACCGGTTGTAACTTTCCTCTCAAAATACTTCGACTTGTCTCGTGTAAAATCCCAGTTGTCTTTGTAGATATTGGCTACTCCGTCGTTTCTTCGGAGTAGCTGTAGCTGTAGCTGCAGCTAGCTGTATAGTTCTGGGGGCGGAACTACGTTACGGCCTTGATGTCTTAGTCCCACGGGGATAGTTTAATTGTTATGGTTCCAGCGTCGCTCACAGAGAGTGTGGAAAGCCAAGCGTGGATGAGGTGGAGCCCATTCCCGAAAATGCATATACAGAAAGTCCCGGCAATGGCACTGAAAAACTAATCGTAGGATCCAGGAAGAGCACGTAGGAAATGTTCAAGTATAGCTACATGGAAGTGGTACTCAGGAACCTATCAGTGCTGCTGGTATTTTGGATACTTCATTTGCATTTACGCCGAACTGCGGCATCTGCGGTTCTTCGTGGGCTTGTCCAGTACCCAACAGCAATTTTGCTGTCTTGCTGCAATTACAGCCCTGAATAATTCTGTTCACCGTTGAGAAAGTTATTAGGCAGCCATGTTTGAGAGTACGAGGCCATACTTGGGGGAGGGGATGCTAGTAACTTGAATCAATGAGCCAGTGAAAGAAAAAGACAGCACGAGCTCCACGCGAACAAGTACTGGGCTTCCTGGTTCGATGTTCATCATTTGCACCTCTAACGGAGCGGGATGCGCCTAAGTCTAGATCCCGTATGCAAAAGATAACTGCGGAACGTGCTTTGCCGCAATTTTTGTTATGGATTTATTTTGTTTCTTCCATGCATCCGTGGCCAGCTGCCACTGATTCCCAAACCCTTGTAACTTCGAAGTCCTGGATTTGCTCGCGGCAGAATCTTCACGAATGGGGCTTTCTTGCAGGCCTTTTGTTGTACGCTACAGAGCCTGTAGGCGTTCGCTGAAATCACTACTGTATTACAAGCCCACACAGCACCTTGTACTCAGGACAAAATCAAGCTTCTCTCTAGCGCTCTGAGCAATAGAGAGCCTCAAAATACTGAATTATCGTGGGGTTCGTCTTATTTGCAAGTCTGTTCAAGAGCATATTTGCAATGACTGCTCAATGGCAAATGCCCAGGGCTGCCACGAACTTGCCCGACAAGGCGCTAGCGAATCGGCATTCCTTTGTACTAACCTCAGGCATCGAAGTAGACTCATTTTATAACGCATGGATGATTAAGACTCTCGTTGTTGAACATAGTTCAAACCAACGAAAACGTGGCACTATTAGGTGAGCCTGTCCGCAACGTTGTAGACGAGGTCACTGCCTCGAACTTTTGATTCGCTGCCTACAAATCCATTCGGTGTTTTGGCTCGACCCTTCTGATAGACAAAGGAATCTAGAGGCCTGCTCCTTTCAGAAGTCTTCAGACCGCAGCGTAAGTTCGTGACGTGCACAAACTGTCTGTAGGCACCTGCTGTGCCATCTGCAGCCAGGAGCCAATGGCTGTCAATAGCTTTCAATTTAATGCTCTCTAACTGTAATTAGTTTTCTTGCTGTGACGTACGTTCCTCCCTCTACCTATGGCTAGCTTGGACTCGCTGCCGACAACTCTTTCATTCTTTCCAGATTTTGGGGCTAGGGATCCTTTTCGGGCTGACAGGACCTGAACTTCACGCGCTCACAACTGGAAAGGCTACCTGCGTATTTTCTCAGTGGTTGTGTTGATCACACTAAAAGGCATCTCCCAACCTAGGTGCAAAGCAAAGCGCGCCGTATTGACCCATGGCCGGCCGGGGCAGCAGCGGCCGCATGCTCCCGGCAGCAGCAACAGCAATTAGGAGAAGCGGAAGCTTGTGCCGCTCGTCGCCCTCTTCACTCCATTTTTCTTTTCCTTTTTTGTGTTGGGGGCTCTTCTCGCTCTCGTGCATTTCCCCCCTCGCATCCGTCTTGTTGGGCGTCCAGGTGCACTAGTGGATGCGCTTCTTGAGGAAGAGAGAGGACGAATGCGCTGCGATCTGTCTGAAGTTGGTGTCTCTATTTCAGCTTGCTGCCGAGCTGGTTACCGAGTGCCCTGTAAGGTGTGAACAGTTGGTTACACTGTTCATGTATCAAAATGAGACTGGGGTATGCTTTAATCTGCAGTTGTTTTGCAGCAGGATCTGCAGCAATGCAACTCATGAGAGGCCCGTCCCCTTTCTCACTAGTCCCACTGGAGCTGGGTCATCTGCTGTGAGGGAACTCTTATAATAAGCCCTTCGACTAAAAACGTCGCGACGGTCCTCAGCTGAGATCAGCAACTTGAGTTAAAAGTATGACTTGAACGGTCATCTTGCTAGTATCTACCGTAAACATATACCGTCCTGCTCTCACAAATACCAAAGATGGCCATCTCATTTGGAATACGTATACTGTAAAATGATACCGTTTTGTACTTACAAATAGCCGCACGCTTGCCATCGTGAAGATAAGCCATAACTGGAGCGTTCATCTAAGCAATGCAGGAACAAGAAGAGAAGTATGAAAGCTGATGAGATTCGCTGTTTATCCAAGCCACCCTTGCGGTATGGCGGGTTACCCTCCATGTCCCCAATAGTGATGTAGCAGAGCACGCTGTCGGCATATAGACTAATATGAAGTCTATGATTACTGGCTACATCGGGGACGCTACCCCGTGGCAGACATTCCTGCGGAACTGCCCCGGCGCAGATGAAGCGTTCATGAACGCGCGCTGTCGAAACCTGCCACTCCTTCGCCAAGCGCTGCGGCACTGATGCCTCGCCAGAAGCCTGCGAACCACAAAATGGTGTGTGAAAGCATTGCCGCAACGCGCTACAACCTGTTTGAATATAGCCTGTCTGTGGCCGGTGCCATCCACAGGCATGCTGATCATGCACGCGGGTGGTGTCGCACGCGCACCCTCCCAATGTAGAGGAATTGTGCGAGGACCGCCAGCATGGTTCCAGGCCCTCGGAACGCGCGCTAAGGTGAAAATTTGGGTGTAGGTTATACAGCATCGAATATATCTCTTTCGGCAGTGCGTAGTAGTTTCAGCAAGCCGATTAGGCAGGGGCGCAGTATACTTCGGACAGATCCAACACTCTAAATGCGCTGTTTTCTCAGCGTGTGCAGATCAGAAAGCAAGACGAACAGCGAATGCGTCAGCCGGGAGTCGAACCCGGGTCGCCTGCTTGGAAGGCAGGTATCCTAACCGTTGGACTACTAACGCAGCAGGCGCAACAGTACATTGTACTCGTTGTCAACGCACGCATGCAAAGGAGGCTTGGGTATGCTTGCACGTGGGGTTACCTTGCAGCAGGAGTTGCAGCGAGGTTTACTACAAGTGGGAGGCAATGGAAGATTCTGTAGTCTCACTGGGGGGTGACTGTTGCAAAAAAATATGCCCGACGGGCTACAGCTGCAACTAACAATTTGAGTTGGGTGGGGAGACACGCCAATGGCAGTTCTACTTATTCAAAGATGTCACCCTGCCTGAGCAGTACCGGGCTATACTGTCGGCTTGGCGTGCTCTAAGTTGCAGGTTCGTCTGCTAGCTATCTAAGGGAAGGGCAGCCTGCCATTTAAAAAATAGTACAACAGAACCGATCAGTAGTGCGCTACGTTGAGGAGTAATAGTCTTCGTTTAGCAGAAGGCTCGCGATGGACTCGAAGGTTCCGCGCCGAGGTTTTGCTTCAAGCTTCCCCTGCGAGACGCTCGGTACCAGGCTCTGCTGCTGAGAGGGATTTACGGGGTGGGCATGTGGGAATTAGGAAAATTGATGGCATGAAAGAGAGAAGGCGTCATGAATACCCCCACATAGGAGAATGAGGAGAACGCTTCTTTCCGTTGCCACCTGCAACTGTACTATTCAAGTCACTTCCACTATTTATCCTGTCGTCAGCTTCCTCCGCCTTCTAGGGGAGCGCAACTCTCAGGTGGCACATAGCACCCAGAACAATATACCCTGCTAGCCGCCAGTTGGGTTCAATTTCCTAACCTTTTTACTTTGGCTCAGCATTACCATTTACAACTCTTCGCAAGTTGCAATGGAAGGTCTCAGACACAACTATTTCCATTGTCGGTAACGGCGGAGGCTTCAAGCGCGCCCAAGTAGCCGCCGTTAGTTCAGAAACAATCGCGTAGTTGCCTTCCCGAAAGGAGTCTATTTCTTTGGCATTCATTTTGCTAGCATCTACCGTTTAACACTAGGCAAAGGAAGAACAAGCAGGGAAGAAGCACGAGGGAAAATGAAATTCGGGGTTGGCCCAAACCTGCTACCGCCTGTAAAGTTTGGCGGGCCACCCTCCAGCCCCCAATACCAAATCGGCAGAGGAAGGAGGTGCTGCATAGACCCATCTGAACTCTCAACTCGCTGGATGCACAGACCTCCCCACCCCGTAGCAAACATTCCTGCAAAACTGCCCCGGCGCAGAAGGAAAGAACTACAGAGCGCCCTTCCAAAATCTGACTTACCTTGGCAAAGCGTCGGTGCACTGCTGCCTCACCAGTAGCTCGCCAGCCGCAACAGTTGGGGAAAACCTAGTTGCATCTCGCCACGAGTTTCTGGAATATAAGTTGCCCGAGAACGGTCCCACGGGCAGGCATGCGGCAAACTCTCCCAATGCGGAGGAACTACAAATTTTGCGGGTCGTCAGGGCAGCTCCGCGTGATTCAGTCGCACGCAGGAACGCACATTTGGATGTGACGTATACAGCTCTTACGGAACTGCACAATATTGTCAACAAGTCGACTATATAGCGGCTCATTGTAGAAAAGACATATCTAGCCCAAACTCGGGTGTTTTCGACGTGAGGCAGCATGCGCAGACAAGAAAATAAGACTGCGTCAGCCGGGAGTCGAACCCGGGTCGCCTGCTTGGAAGGCAGGTATCCTAACCGTTGGACTACTAACGCGGCGTGCAGGCTCTCTAAATACGCAGACAAATTTTCAAAAGGTACTACAGGTGGCTAACATCTTCTGGGTCTGTGAATGGTTATGGTGTAATTTGTGGAAGGTGCTAGGGGAGGAACTCAATACTTGTTCAAGCTGTGCACAGGGAAGGGCTTGGTTTTGTACCACGATTCCGCTAATGCGCGATGCCAACACATGCGCTGGGGTATGGCGACGATGTAAAACGTTGATCTGCGGCGTGGATGAAAGCGTTGGCTGATGAATCTGTACCCTTCCTACTCATGCCAGCATAAGTCACGAATCAATCAGTTGTAGCATTGTCTGCCTGACGCTGATCCGCGCATTTGCACTTCTGTACAAGCTCTCTACTGAGGGCCTTGATTGATTGATTGATTAGCTACTTGACCAACTGTAATGCTCGGCAGTGTATTCATCATGACTTCGATGATGCGTTTTTGCATATTACAATACAACCCCGCGACAAGCAAGCAAGCCTGCCTTCCACATTGGCCATGCAAGCTAGAGTAAGTCTGGATACCCTTTAAGCTTGTGAATACACCTACCAAACAGGAGCAACAGCTTAGTCATGGTAGTTTAGGGGAAACAACGGGGCGTTGGTAGTTGTTTTTTCATGAATTCCGGGGCTGCGTTCATACTGAGTATGCATGAGACTACGCATTTGCACCACCCGCGGCATGCGTTGCAAGGAAACCAGAGGTTCGTAAAAGCACAAAAGCTTCTGGGTTATGCAAGCAATCAACCTCCTGTGCCTCTGTAGAGGGAGCGGAAACCCCCCCACAAGGAGAAGCCAAGGAATATGGCGTTCGGATTTGGCCGCTACCCCTGTACATTCTCGTGGACGATCAGACGTTTGCCGGCCTCGAATAGTAATGCAGCAAAATTATCGCTCGATTACCTCGAGTTGCCGCCCCTCAAACTGATCTGCCCACGAAAGGGAAGCGATTTGTTTGCAGAGTTGCTGGCAGCAGTACAACTTACCTGTAATCCGTTCTTCCGTACGTTTGCAGTTCCCCGAATGCCAAACTATCTCGGGATTCTCTTTCAACCTGCGTATGCCCTTTTGCCCGTTACCGGATAGCAGACGATGAGGCATGCTGTACATGGAAAGAGGGTGGGAAGATACTAGGCGGAGTCCGTCAGGAGACGGCAGGTCCACCCGTATTTGTGGGCATATTGGCTAATGAAGGCCAAGCAAACGCTTATCAGTTGACTGGGATGATACTGCATGCAGCTATAGGTGGCTTGCTGTGGTTGAACTTTAGGGTTGCCTTTGCGCGAGGAGTCACAGCAGTAAGTGCCAAGCCAAGATGCTCCACGCCCCTAGCAGGGACCGTCGCATAGTCAAAATACCTACGAATCCCCAAGACGCCGCTGGCCTTCCCTCGAATATCCATGTATGCTGTGTAGAGCAGCGCAATGGCGTGCAGCTTGCGGAAAGAGGAAGCAACAGCGTGCCGAAAACTGCAGCATCCCAACTGCTGGCTCAAGGCGACCCCACATGGAGCTCCCAAGCCGCAATTTGATGCATGCTCTAACACACTAGGCTGTTGTTGAACATTTTCTTGGCCATCAGGTGGCAGGCTGTGTCCAAATAGAAATGCATGTAACAACTGCAGACAGAGCATGCTACAGTTGCCAGACTAGCTTTAGCGCTGTCCAAGGGGACGCCCCAATACGAACGTTCCTGGCTTTACGATGCCAAATTACAATCGACGCCACTTTTAGGATGAGTCTTTGTTCGGATAGTTGGGGGACATAGGGGAGACCAACCCACTTCCATTGCAGACGTGCGAGCAGCCCAGTCAAACGTACCATCGTCTGTCTACCGGGACGCCCGAAGAAGCAAACCCACCAAGAGCCAGCCCTTGTGCCACTTCTTAACTAATTTTTCCCCTGCTGATGGGCAGAAGGCTGCCAGAAATCCAGCGGGCAGCTCTTGGGGCTGCTTGCGCGGCCGACGGCAGCGGCTGCGACAGACGAGCCGCAGCAGCAGCTGCGGCTGC